AAAAACAAACAAACACGTTACTTTGCCAAAGCACTGACAGAATAGATCTAATGGTGTTGTTGAGCACTCCAAAATGCAAACTTTGCATGCAACAATCCGGCAGCAATTGACAGCGCTCTGATCCAATGGCATACAGGCAATGTCAGATTGACAGTACTCTAGCCCAATGGGGATCCAGTGGGGGTGGCAATCATATTTCTGGTTGGCCGTGCCACTCTTTATCACAACCCTGCTAAAATGTAGTGCCAGTACGTGCGCTCATTGGCGCCCCCTCCTGCTGGTGGCGCCCTAGGCGACCACCTAGTTTGCCTATGCCTAGAAACGGTACTGCACACACAAACACACAGGTCCCTCATCACGATAGCCTTCTTCAAGTTACGCCCACTTCCAGTTATGCCCCTCTCTTGCAGTCCGCAGACAGACGCTATTGCATACTCACAACTCAATGAAAATAATAGTGCATGAAAGACCTAGGGATGCGTCACGATATTCGAATATTCGATTAGTTGATTTAATTATAGAGTATCGAATAGGTTGTGTGATTATTGTCTCAAAATACATCTTTATAGTATGATTTGAGTGAGCAAGTTTATAGTAGTTTTATTATACTTTTATGGTGCTTTTTTATTCCTGTGCAACAAAAAAAGCACCATAAAAGTATCATAAAACTACTATAAACTTGCTCACTCAAATCATACTATAGATTAGTATGAGGAACAGATTTATATGTAATTGATATTATCTTCCTTCCCAGTGAGCTGTTAACCACTGTAATTGTATCGAGTCAGAGAGTTGAACTAAAGACTGATGCATGAACAAATCACTTAGACTGATTGTGTGAACTGAATTAGCCAGTTTGTTAAAAAAAGATCTGATCAAGGGTGAATGTTAAGATTTTCTATAAATTTGTTTCTCACATAAAGAAGACTTGGAATTTGATGCACAACAGACCACTTTTTTGGTGCTTGATCACCCCAGACTTCATTCACTCTCAATACATTGAAAACATATTCATCAATTCACTTATGTGTTCCATAGAGGAGAAAAAAGTATGTAATGACACAAGGGTGAGTACATGAAGACAGCATTTTCATTTTGAGTGTACTTTTACTTTAAACACAAATTGAAATTTCCTTTGTTTTCACTGAGACTGTTTTAAAACTTGCTTCAACTGATTTGTAAGCCAATTTCTGCCGAGGTCAGCAGTGATGAGAAATGCATTATAATACTATAACAGGCAAATTATATGCCATCAATAGCTGTACAGTTCCACAAAGTAGAATGGATTGCTTTCATACCAGTTATGAACTACTCTGTTCCACAGACTCAGACTTTCAAGCGGCTCTCGAAAAGCAGCTGAGCTTGAAAATTGGTGTGAAATGAAAATACACCATATATATTTTCTAAATGCATTTTATAGGTCTTTCTGTCAGACTCTGTCTGTTGATGTCTACCTCCTTTGCTACGTGAGTTTTCCTGGTTCCCTTGATATAATTAAAATCCCCTTATTGATGTACTCCTGGTCTCCTCGCTCCGCGCTCCCTCACAGTAGCACCGTGACAGAATACCGGACCAGAACAGTAAGCGGCGCCCCCTCTCCCCTTGTTTGTTTTCCGTTTTTTGAAAAGTTTTTTGTGTCCTGTTTGTTCCTCCCCGTGGCGATGGAAATAGCCACTCGGTTCATCGCCCTAGCCCACAGAGATCTTCCCTTCATGGAGTATGCGTGGGAGTTCAGCAAGATCGCCGCTAAAACAGTGCTGGACGACGCCACGCTCAACTCTCTGTTCTGGATCGGGGCCAATTGCTATCACCCCGTGGACCTTCCAGACACCACAGAACTGAGCTGGAGGGAAAGGGATCCTCCGGTGTCTGGAGAGCATCCAGCCCCCCGATCCAGAACCAGCCCGCCGAACAAGATATGCCCACGGATGGCTCCTGTTCCCGAGTTTAGTCCAGTGAGGGTTCCTGTCCCCGAGTTTGACCCAGTGAGGGTTCCAGTCCCCGAGTTTAGCCCAGTGATGGCTCCTGTCCCCGAGTTTAGCCCAGAGAGGGCTCCAGGCCCCGAGTTTAGCCCAGAGAGGGCTCCAGTCCCCGAGTTTAGCCCAGAGAAGACTCCAGTCCCCATGTCCTGCCCAAAGAGGGCTCCAGTTCCTACGTCCAGCCCAAGGAGGGCTCCAGTCCCCAAGTCAAGCCCGGATAGGGCCACAGTTCCCGAGTTAGGCCTACGGAGGGCCTCTAAAGACTATCCTCTAAGACTAAGATATTCTCCCCAAGGATTTTTTTGGGGGGAGGGGGGTAGTAGGGGTCCGTCCGTGGAGGCCGGGCCGAGTGCCGAGGCCAGGCTCCCCGAGCTCCCTGCTCCGCCATGGCTTTCTGAGTTCCCTGCTCTGTCATGGTTTTCTGAGTTCCCAGCTCCGTCATGGCCTCCTGAGTTCTCGGCTCTGCCATGGCTCCCCGTGCTCCCGGCTCCGCCATGGCCCCCCGAGCTCCCTGATCCGCCATGGACCCCCGAGCTCCCAGCCTCTGCTCTACCGTGGCCTCCCGAGCTCCCTACTCCGCCATGGCCTCCTGAGTTCCCTGTTCCGCCATGGTTCCCCGGGCTCCCTGATCCGCCATGGCTTCCCGAGCTGCCTGCTCCGCCATGGTGCCCGGATCTGGTACTGCCTTGGAGGCGTCACTGTTCCGTACTAGTCTGTCCTGAAGGACCTCCAAGGCTCCCCCCCTCCCACCCCGTTGATGTTAAGTGGCGCGAGGACGCGCCTTCCAGAGGGGGGCGTTCTGTCAGACTCTGCTCCGTGAATGTCTGTTGATGTCTACCTCCTTTGCTACGTGTGTTTTCCTGGTTCCCTTGATATAATTAAAATCCCCTTATTGATGTACTCCTGGTCTCCTCGTTCCCCGCTCTGCGCTCCCTCACAGTAGCACCGTGACACTTACTGTGAACAATTCATTCGTGCATATGTTTTATTTTTAGAAAAAAAATACCTCCATGTTTAATTAATGTCATAACTGGACCTTCCAGACTTACTCTCTTGTGACGTATACAGGGCTTCTCCAATTATTTAGTCCCTGCAAATGATTGGAGAAATCTGACTGTCCCTGCAAGCTTGCATTCATCTGCCTTCAGTTTTGATTGCAACGCCCAGATCTCAAAATCAAATTAACAACCAATTCATAGGACCAAGTCCCTGCCCTACATTTTTTATTTTCAATATTTTTTTTACACTCAGACAAACATCATAATTCAGAAGAAAAGATCTGTCACTTCTTCTGTTTCACCTCATCTTTGCAGAGCCTGTTTTTTTTTTTTTACTGGCATTCATTTAAGCCCTCTATGTAAACTCCTTCTTTATGTGTGAAATGAAATTGAAATATTTGTGCTCACATGGGCTACTGCTTATAGCAGTTGTAATATATTCTGATTTGCTATCAAGATCTGCCCGTTTCTAACATTGTGATCCATTATAAGGATGTGCAGAGTGTAGGTGCTACACAGCCAAGAACAGTTTATTTTTTCCTCATTACCTCACTCTATCTGGCCAACCCAAGTGTCTGATCACCAAGCAGACTTAGTTGACATGTAAATGTGGGCATTTGTCATGTGTTAATGTATTCATCTGTCTGACTTAAACAGTTGCAGAAGTTCTGAACAGTTCTGAATCTGTTTTTGCAGCTTTATTATCATAAATGGTCTTTATTCACTGGGGAAGAAGTTTTCAGTTCTGAAAGCTTTCAGAGTTAAATTCTGAAGCATGTTCTCAGAAGAATATTTTCAAGCATAATTTGATTCCTGCTCATATTTCCTTTAAGTAAAATGGTCCTGGTCATAGTGTAGAAGTCAAATATGTCTTTAGCTGAACAAAAGCGTTCACTGTAGGCAGTATTGTTCTTGTAATTTTTCAAAGGGAATTCAAGCAGGGACCTCAGAGATTAAAGGTGTGTGGCTGTTACACACAAGGCTCCAGTGTCGCCATGCATCTCCCAGCATGCCTTGCTAATAAGAGGCTAATTAATTTAAAGTCCTGTCCTCAGCAGAACTCTAGCCTTTTTATGTCACTCCCAAAGTTGACCGATTTGGCAAACCCACAGCAGGTATTCTTTTATCTACATAAAAATTATAAATGTGTGAAGACACATGAAATAAATGTCCCTTCTACTAAGAACAACAAACATCCGATAGTATTGATTGAATATGCTGATTTAATTGAGGTTTACCCTCGTCGGGCTTTGTCCATTTATTAAATTACCTGGAAGACTAAAGGCCACCATCTGTGAGAGGATCAATTTTGTCATCAGTCTGCTCGCTTTGTCTTTACTAATTTCTCAAACATCCCCTGTGCTCCAACATACGAATGAGAAATGAGCAACGGCCACACTGAAGTTAACGCCCAAGCTCTGAGTTGTACGTTTCCTCAATTGAAACATATTGATCTGTTTTACCATTTCCATTCCGAGAGTTTCTGTGGACAAAATAGATAGAAGTATCGTTTTTAAAACCAAACAGCCTTTCTGGCCTAGTTTAGATTGAGTTTAAGAGGGGATTGAGAGTTTCTCCGAAATAAATCTCGGCATAATGGGATGCGTTTGTGACATAGTGCTGAATGCGCTGATGTTGCCATCAGATGCGGTGACAATAAGGCAATAAATGAATCTGCAAAACTCTAAGGAGGTGAAATAGCCGAGTTGACAATGAGCTTGTATGTTGTCGCCTCTTGTTTAGTCAGATCAAAATGACGTGCAGTTGTTTATTTGAAGAGCCCGTGTCAGAGGGGTTTCCATAGTTTCTTGTGCAGCTGTAAAAGAGGAGAGATCTGCCGCGTGTGTGGAATTAATGAAAAGTGCTCTCAGAGACTGTTGAATTATGCATGAGGAGAAACACAACTCACAACTGAGGAACTTTTCAAACTGTATGAATTTTTTTTTTTTGGACTAACTTTAGCTCTATTATAGTAGGTTTGTTTGATGGGTTCTTTAATCCTAATACTTTTCTCTCTCTTCAGTTTCTCTGCAGGTCGACATTACACCTGCACAGGGCGAGATCAGTGTTGGAGAATCTCGATTCTTTTTGTGTGAAGGTAAGTTTTCGTACTGACCAGGAACCTTCTGGCCCTCATTACAGTGCTTTGAAAAGTTTTCTGCAGTTTTTCAGCTTTGACCGCTTACCACAGGGCTTTGTTTTGTAGATAATTTTCGCCTTAGTTATGCCATTTATTCTTGGATTTTGTAAGATTTCCTTCAAGTTTCCGGTGTGGGTGAGGCTTCTTGGCGTGACACTATAGAAATAGAAACAGAGTGCCAGCTGACCAGGTTACATCTGGTTCCGATAGGGTTTTATATTAATAATATATTTGGCATTCAAAATCAATTTGAGATTGATGTTATTGTGTTCTTTGTCTACCAAATTGTAATGGGTTTGTTTATCCGTCTGTATTGCATATTAATGTCAATCTTTCTCTCCTGCTGTCATTTAACCAGAAACATTAACACTGCACATTTTCTGCTTTATGAGCAAATGTGTTTCCTTCGGGAAAGGAAATTTAGTTTAGAGCAGGGTTTAGGGGTTTTCAAACTGGGCTCTAGGGAAAGGGTTGTTTGGGGTTTGTAAACAATTTCAGAGAAAAGAATGTAAAAAAAAAAGAATTTGATATCATTTACGGTTTCATTCTGATCATGAGATTTTACTGTGATTATTTTATTCTGTTTAGATATTTGCAGCAATAGGTTTTAATAGTAAGAATTTGATACAGTAAAACATTAAAACTTTTGTAACCTTATAAATGTTCTCATCAATTGAATACATCCTTGCTGAATAAATGCTGAAAAAAAAAATCTTACAGAGAGTGAGCACAAATACAAACTATTTTTGAATGTATGAATCTTTCTCGGCCTCTGCTGCCTTTATCTTGTTCACTGGGGTTTTTAAGCCAATTATCTTTGCAAAACTGCTTTGGAACAGCATTTATTGTGAGAAGTGAATTTCAGTTGATAATGTTTCTCAACAGATTTATGCATCTAACTGATAGTGGTTTGGAAAAACAAACTTAGTACTAAATAAATATTTTCTATTTTTTATTTATTTTGGCTATAACACAATGAATGACAGTATAAAAACAATTATTTAATTTTGCAAATATATTGTTTTCATATTACATTTACTACAATTCACATACAGTAGAAATAGGGGCTTTATATATTGCAATATATATTTGTCTTTTATAGTTTAGGAAAGGGGATCATCGTATGTGAGTACTTGGAAGAAAACCCCTTTCACTCAATGACCACCTGTTTCCTACTGTCTGTATTTAAAGATGTGTGTCCCCTGTTTATGAATCTTCTCAATGTTACCTTCTAAAAATCTGGTACACAGTTTTAGTGACCTGATTCCTAAAAGGTCTGGTTTTTCATGTTTTTGTGACCTAAAAAAACAGTAATCTTCTAGATGATTAATTTGCTGAAATAGTACACTAGTGTGAATTCAACTTTAATGTCGCTGATGGTGTTCTATGTCAGCAAATATCACAGAGGACTCAGTAAACGAGATCCATGTGAATAAGGCTACAAGAGGAATACGTTAAACCTTTGTGTGCCTATATCTCACTTTGAAAAACATTTTTCCTCGTTCCACTCTTCTGGGCTTCGTTTGAAGACCCAAAGGCATGGAACAGCGGCTCTGATAATTGCTCTCAGCACTAGAGGTTTCACCAGTGCTGTGTCCTACGGTCCACTGATTTGGGTAATAGACTGGTAACCTGAGAATCGGTTGAAGTTTTAGGTTGTGCCTTCTGACAGCTGTTGTGCCAGCGACACCTAATCCCAACTAATTCAAGCAAACAATTAAATCGCGTCAGGCCTGATTCGCTTTTGATTGATTCATATCTGCTTTGTGGATGTTTACACAAGCTTAAC